GTGTGTGTGTGTGTGTGTGTGTGTGTGTGTGTGTGTGTGTGTGTGTGGCGGGGGCTTGTCTCATTTTTTCCTTCTCTTCTATGGAGGCTACTTGGCACAAATTTAAGTGAGCCCATAGCTGTGATATTCAGAGTCTCAGAGAAGAGAATTGACTGGGGACTCTGCACCTCCATGAATTGGGGTGACCTTGCTTGGGGTTGCTCTGGGTCCTAGGGGATGGGAGCATAGGGCATCATCTAGGCTATCTTCTAAGTCCTGCATGAGTCTCCAGAAAAATCAACAAGAGCACACAGAAGTAGAGCCTCAAAGCTCACTCGGCATCAAACCCCATGGGGAAGTCACAACAGGGTGGCCCCAAACAAGAGAGTGAGATTCTGGGAACATTTGTCTTTCTGATCTTCCCTGAATGGCTTTAAAATGTTGTCACACCTCACTGCCACCCTTCAATTTCAGGTCTCACTATGTGAATAGATGTGTTATTGATTTGAGCCCCCACACACACACACACTCACAGCGGCGTTTATGATATGACTCCCTTTTCGGTTTCCATGTACTAGAGTGACTGTCTCAGTGCGGTTGGCAGTGACCTATGTTTTTCTTGCATATTTTTGTTTCAGAATAACTGGGAGCTGAAACAGGAAGCCCCATGACACAGTTGATCGAAAATGACACAGACACAGAAAAATCAGGACGTGCCCCCAGCACCTCTACCTGCTGCCTGCTGATCGCAGCGAGAAGGCAGGTGAAGGGTTTTCCCGGGAATGGACTCTGGCTACGGAGGACTCTGGTGAGCCTCCCTGCTCTCTGGTGATGGGCCTGTAGTATTTTGGTGATAGTCTTTCTTCGGTTGATTTCTCACTTATGTTTCTCTCTCTCATGTCTTGATTTTTTTCTTCATTAAAAGCAAAACCAAAGAAAATGAAATAAATAGTCTGTTAATTAGCTTTACAGAAACACTAATTAAGAACACCAAGCTTGAACTTAAGGTAACTTTCTCCAAGGCTACATGTCAAGATTGTCATAACCACATAGATAACCATGGCATTTTGAAAAGTGTGTTGAGCTTGAATCTCACTACTCAGTCATGTTTGTCCTGCTTTTTATTATATTCTAGAAGATCTCTCTTGGAGCCACTGTTGGCAGGCTGATAGTTGAGAGCTTTGGGATTTGTCCCTGTCTGTCCATGTTCTTTCTGGTCACAGCTGATAACTGGTCTAGAGAGCTACAATGGGAAAATCCCACTTTCTCTGCTCCCCCCAACTCCACATTCAACATTGATTTATAGAGTCAGTCCATAATAACTTCTTATGGGGCCCATTGTATACCATATTCTGGAGTCAAGATGGGATAGCCTCTGCCCCTCCCCCCAGCATGTGTAGCCTACTTATAAGTAGGCTTGGCTCAAGAAGTAAAGAATGGTATATATCACGGATGTTTCATTCAGATGTCCTGATTTTTCCAAATCTGTCCCTCAAGTCCTGTGACTAGCACTTGAATGTCCTCTGAAATGGTTAAATGGCCAGTCATTCCTGCTCCAGAGTCCTCTTCTCATTTCCAACTGTAAACTCAACATAGTCACCATCCTGGGAAAGTTGCCAAAGAGGCCATTTGTAGTCACCTCCAAGAGTCTATTAGTTTTCACTTGTAAGCTTAGCAGAAATCCAAGAATAACTCAGTGGCTATGCTCACTACTTTATACTCTCAACATCAGCATGCTAATTGGTCATGGGGCTCATCGCAGAGGCCCTGGGGGACTGGCCCAGGGATCCCATCCAGTTCTCACCCAAATGCTGAGAGTCTGGGAAGTCTCCCTACATACCAAGTCCTGAGAGACACCTTGACCCCTTTCATTTCATCTCTCTGATTATTTTTCTGCGTAGGGCTTAACTACTATTAGAAGTGGCTATCGTTTGTTTATTGCCTGTGCATCTTACTGTCCTTCCTAGTTTTTTCTTGATAGAGGCAGATGTGCTATCTTATCCCCAAGTCTGTCCACAGCATTTGGCACTCAGTACAGCAGACGTGAGTTGCTTCTCAGCAATAGGCATATCTACATTCTAACTACATGGTGAGGCTTAAGCCTCCGTCTCTGCAGGTGGTTGCTGGAGCAGTAGGATGTGGATCCAGCCCATCCTCCAGCCCCCTGCTTAGCAGGAGAGGTGGGACACAAGCCTTTCACCATCTTCATACCCAGATGCTCATTAGAACCAATCTTCTTGCTTATTTATCCTCAAGTACAAGTTTGTTCGGTCATATTCCTGGAAAGTCAAAAACCATTGAGCTGTGGAAGAGATAAGTCTTCAGTGGGGTGTCTCCAGCAGCGGCTTCCCTCAGCAGAATGTCCTGAGACTCTGTCTCCTATGCTAGGTTCATTTGTCGGGGCTCTACCAGCGAAGGAAGCAGTGTGGAGGGGTCACCCACGGAGTGGAGACGAAGCCCCCAGGAGATGACAAGGGGCTTAGACCCAAACATGGGCTTGTGCATGTGCCTTGCAGAGGTTCACACAGTCCTCTCTGGGCATACCCGTACCCTGGCACAGGGGCTTCCACGAACAGGCATGTCTCCCCCAGATAGCCCTTCTTCTACTATGTTCTCAAAGAGAACACAGCCCACCCTTTGTTCATTACCCACTTTTACTCAGTAGAGTATTCATGACCTCAGCAACAATATCAGCCAAGTTGGAGTCACAGGCTTTGGAAAGACCAGAAATAATCGACACAGCATTCATGGGATAATTCACTCATAAGGATAATAAGAAAAAAAAAGCAAAAGAAAATTGATCATATAATTTTAGATGCTTTTAGGACAAAATTCTCATCCTGATCAGAGAATGAAATTAATCACAAATTATATATAAAAACAAGAAAACAATCCTCAATTTCCAGGACTCACCTGGATTCAAAGCACCAGAATTTGGAAGTAGAAAACATGAAAAACAAGCACTGATATTCTAAAATTCTCCACAGGCATTTTAAAATTTTTATTTTATTTTGTTTATGTAAGTTTTGCCACATGGGTGTCTGATATTCAATGAGGTCAGAAGATGATGGATTCCCTGGGACTGGAGATACAGACCATTGAGACTCACATGTGGGTACTGGGAATTGAACCTGGGTCCTCTGGAAGAGCAACAAGTGCTCTTTTTTTTCTTGTTTTTTTGTTTTTAAGACAGGGTTTCTCTGTGTAACAGTCCTAGAACTCACTCTGTAGACCAGGCTGGCCTCAAACTCACTGAGATCCACCTGCCTCTGTCTCCCATGTGCTGGGATTAAAGGCGTGCGCCACCACCCCCTGGCACAAGTGCTCTTAACCACTGAGTCAACACAAGCATGTTTAATACTAAGCCAAGATTGAGCAACACTGCTCTACTTTATTGGTTACCGTATTCTTCAGCCAATATGGCCATTGACATTTAATATAACTGAGGATCAGAGCTTTTAACTCCGTTTGACTTTAATTTGTCTGAGCTGAGCATCTCCCATGGCTGCAGCTGTCATACTGGACAATTCAGAGGAGAATACACACCTTCACACGTGTCAGGGAAAGGCAATGTCCTGAGAAGCATAAGTGCTAGCCAGGCATACAGGAGCAGCGAGCCCGAGCCCTTAACTGTAAGGGAAACTCTGGCTGATGTAGAAAGAATTTGGGCTAGCTCTCTCTACGGGTTAACTTTGCGAAGGCCTGCCCTCCTACCTCAAGCATATTCTGAGGCAGGGCCTGAGCAGCAGCAAAGGAAACCTTCCCTGCACTAGATGATTGAAAAGAACTTAAAATACCCTGCAAATGCCCAAGGCTTGTCTTTGTAAGTTTTCATTCAAGACAGTGCTTTCACCTGCCTCTTTGGAGACTCAGCCACAGAGAGTGAGCCCTCTGAACCTACCTGTGTAATTAATGGAATTCAAGAATTTTCGAAGTTTGAGAGACGAGAGGTTCACTCTCGTCTGCCACCACAGAATTCTCAGCCATTGAAATGGGCTTAGGTGGGGTTGCAGATACCACCCAGGTTCTGGGCTTAGGTGGGGTTGCAGGCACCACCCAGGTTCGATCCCTAGGCCCCGCATGGTGCCGCACAACCGTCTGTGACTCAGTGGATCCAACACCCTCTTCTGGCCACTGCAGGCACTACACCCACCTTATGCATGTATACATATGCAGACAAAACACTTCTACATAGAAAATTTATTTAATTTTAAAAGAAAGTAATGGGCAGAGGGAGCTGGCTGAGCCAGCCCTGCCAGCGAGGGGTTAGTGATGAAGAGAGCAGCCATGCTGAATCATTTTCCTCTTATCACTCAGCCGCTGTCAGATTTCTTTCTATTTTTTTTTTAAAGTTGGAGGGAAAGCACCTTAGACAGAGAATAATACTATTTAGAATTTCAGAGCTTTCCCTTTTTAAGCATTTTATCTTCTTGGGTTTAGCTTGCTCTCACTCTGAAGCTCTCAGATCCGCCGAGGAGGGATTCAGGCTGTCACCCAAGTGTCCCTAAAAGAAGTTCCGTCTTAAGGGAAGAATTCAAAGATGGAGGTTGGTTTTTCACATCCTTGGACACACTCAGATCCTTAGTGTCACAGCTGGGAGAAAATGTTGAGAGAATTTTTCTTTTTAAACCCCTACATAGGTGATGTTTTTAAACCAGCCTGCCCACGATGTGTTGAGTTCCACGTGGTCTTTTCGCCCTCAGTCCTTGAATCAGTATGTGTGTCCTCCTCAGAGACTCATGTGACCAGCAGGTTTGGTAAATATGCCTTCTGTGTCTCCTTACAAGCTATTTTAGAAAGCAATAGGTGGAATAAAACACCAGCAAGAGCCACGCTGGGCTCTGTGAAGGTCATACCTCTCAAGGGCCTCATCCCTAGTGCCCGACCTCAGGCTAATGCTGTCACCACACACCTCCTGGTGGGTGGAATGACAGTCATCCCAGGCCACTTGACTGTGGAAGGAAACACCTATGAATCTAGGATCTTCTGAGTGGCCTGGTCAATAGGTGAGCAGGACCACCATGCCACGAGGTCGTGGGTTGGTTGTCTCTGGGGGTGTCTGGTCTGGCCAACCGTGAATGCGAGTCTCAAGGTCATCTTGAACCATGCACAGATAGGATAAAAGGAGAGGCTTTCAAATGCTTTACTGAAAGTAAGACACACTTTCTGGGGCATTCCCCTAATCGCCTGTGCTGGTGAAGCACGTCAAAACAGGAAATGAGGTTAGCATGGAATGACTTTCTCTCAGAGAGCTTATGTTGCCTCCTCAAGACCACCAGATTCTTCCCAAAACCTTGTGGTCCAGTTTCGCTCCTTCCCCGGGCTTTCCTAGAAGTGGGAGACGGTCTGGTTTGGTGCAGGCTTTGTGAATAAGTGTCTTTGGGAAATACCTGTTCCCAGTCTTTCGACCCCTGCCTCTCCCTCCCAGATCAGCCCCTCTGAAAGGTTTGCAGGTTGGCGCGAGGCTAGATCTGCATATATGCCAACCACAGCAAGACTGTGGTTAAGCCCAGGGCCCTGTGCACATCTGAGGAGAAAGGGTTCGCGTGTGGCATGGGCTCTAGGCAACTCCTGCCAAAGCGGGGCTCTTTGATCCCATGTTTTCACAAAGATGCCAGGAAGAGAAAGCAAACCCTGGGGGTGGGGGGTGGGCTGAAAACTTCCATGGGAACAATTTCTTCTCCTCCCCTGGCCCACAGGGGATTTTGGAGGCAGAAGGAGCTCACTCGACTGGTTCCTTTCAGAGGAAGCTCACTGAGTTCTTTGATGAAGTTGTCGAGATGCGATGAAGGTCTCACAGTCTTGGCA